TCTCTGGTTTCATTTAAAAGAGCCAGTCATCAGATATTGTCCAAGATTAACCTTCAGGGTTGATATAGCTCCCTACCAGCCTCGCACCAATGACCTAGTTGATGTAATCATTTACCCAGAATGCTTTGCGTGTAAATAAAATGGCCCCGACCGTGTTAAAATATATTTTAAAAAATTTACAAAACTAAACAGCCTACAGTATTTTTACAGTCTTTCTTTTACAGTTAAAATAAATGTTTGATCATGAAGAGTTGGACTAAAAAAAACATTTGGTCTGTTTTTCCTGCTCCACACAGGAAGAGTTCGAYGAGTTCCGCGCTCTGTCCTACGCCCACACGGACGTCTTCCTCCTGTGCTTCAGCGTGGTCAACCCCTCCTCGTTCCGCAACGTCACGACCAAGTGGGTGCCCGAGATCCGGGCTCACAACCCTTCCTCGCCCATCATCCTGATCGGCACGCAGTCGGACCTGCTGCTGGACGTGAACGTCCTCATCAGCCTGGACCGGAGCAACGTCAAGCCGGTGCAGAGCTCCCGGGCGCGGGGCATGGCGGACAAGATCCGGGCCACGGATTACATCGAGTGCTCGTCGCTCACGCAGAAGAACTTGAAGGAGGCGTTCGACGCGGCCATCTTCGCCGCCATCAAGAACAAGACGCGCAAAGGCAAGAAGCGGCGGTTCTCCGAGCGGCGCACCAAGGCCTTCTCGAGGTGCAGCTGGAAGAAGTTCTTCTGCTTCATCTGAACTCTTCCCGGAGTCTCGAACACATGTTTTTATTTATTTAAAATGCTGTGCCGCGTTTCAACGGGACATCCTTTAAAAGGTCTCCAACGCCAAACATGGGGAAAAGACGTTCCTGCTCCGATGTGGATTCAGACGTTTGTTCCAGGTCAACAGGAAACAGCGTTTGCACAAAGAAAGGTGCAACAAGTCGAGGTTTCAGAGGAACGCGAGGCCATCGTCCGCAGACGAAAGGACAAAATGTAAAAGCGGTGAATTTGCATGAGTGTGTGTGTTTTGTGTAGACGGGCGTTGTTGTCTCTCCGGACCTATTTATACGCAGCAGCTTGTCGCTCCGTGTGTCGAGGAGCGCCGCATTCTTTTATCTGCCTGTGAAAGCTTCCCCGGCTGGTTTTAGGTCGGGCTTTTTGCTTTCTTTCTGTCTTCCTTCCTTCCTTTCTTTTTTTTTTTTCTCTCGTCAGCTGACAAACCTGGTCGAGCTTTTATATCCGATCACGTTGAAGTTGGTTTGAGGAACTGGTTTGGAAAGCTTCGAGGTGAGACGCTGCAGGGAGTAGAAACTTTAGAATCGTTTTCCTTTTCTTTTCTGTTCTTTTTTTGTTTCCGACGTGAAAACAATCTACATCTGTAAAAACCAAACACCGCAGGAGGCCCTTCTCTTTGTCGTCTTCCTCCCACCTCCATCATCATCTTCCTTCGAAGAGTTGCGAATATTCACCCCTCGTTGTTTACCCGCTCAGAACCAGTCGGCCCAATGAGCCCAGSCTCTGCTTGAACGGACTTTTAGACACAATGCTTAAAGTTTTGCACTCCAGTGTTATATGTGACACATCTCAAAGTGTATCAATTTATTATGCTTCTTGTGGAAGTGAACTTTGTGTTTTTGTTTATTAAAACGCATGAAAACTTCGATATTTTATCCTGGAAACTACGTTATGCTACTTAAAAAAAAGAATCACTAATCTCAACAGCCATGTTCTTGTTTTAAGTTTGGTTTCCTTTCCTTACAGGTCAGAGTGATGGAATTAAAATAGTATTTTTAAAAAACAACCTTTGTCTTCATTGTGTTTGTTTTTAGAACGTGCCTAGCAGTTTGCAGCCACTTATCACATGTGATAATGGTTGATTAAAGGGGTCCTGGACCACCTGGTAGTTTTTCTCAACCGTTTTTTAACTTCAAACATATATTTAATGTCCAACCTTCAGTAATGCATTGGGTTATGCTAATACAGACCATGTGATTGTTGGGGTTTGTGCGTGAATATGTATCTTTTCTAAAAGATTTGCATTTCCAGGAAGGTGACGGAGACAAACACAGATTAGGAATAAACATAATCAGTGAATTGATGAATTTGTTAAAGCAGTAATGTGGGTGTAGTTCAGACCTCTTGTGCTTGTGAACTGTTCCCATCTTAGCTCTTTGAGCAACCTCCTTTTGGAGAAATAAAGTTTAGTTTTGGCGGCTAATCTAAACAGCATCTGGAAACTTTATTTTACAAACCACGTCATCACTGTTGAGTTCTTATTCCAATGTTATTTACGTCAATTTCTGTGATTGTTTTGCAATTGGGAACAGCTGCAGCAGCAGCTAGCAGTAGCACGTCTCTTGCACTGGAGCGCTTCTACCAGAAAAGTCATTTGATTCCTTCCAGATTAATTTTGTAGCTGTGTACAGGTTTAACCTTTGTTTTAGAATGACACTTTGTTTTTTGTAGCTGCTAGCTGAACAGTGCAGTAACAAGTTAATTTTTTTTTTCAAAATAAGCTAATTCAAAAAATTATCCACAACAGGTAAAATATTAATTGTTCATAACCTCATTTAAGAGACTCCCGCTTAAGAAAAACTGAAGTATCCTTTGAAGCTAAAAGCATGTCGGCAGTTTTTTTTAAATTAGCATAAAAAGGGTTGGTTAGCTCATCTATAGTCTAGTAGTCAGTGTGAAGGAAACAGAACAGAACTGTTTCGATGAATTGGTTCAGAGCAGAAGAGATGAGTCACAGATGAGTGGAAGGATAAACATCAGCAGCCTGTTTGTGTCATCCATCACTGTGTCTGAGCTTCTGTTTCCTCTGAGGGGGTCTCCTGCATTTGACCCCATTTGAAGAAGTCAAAAGACGCAAACTCTGCTGACTCTGAGGGAGTTCTTGCTGTAGGATGTTTATAAATTATAATTTCAAGAAAATCGTTCCACCTTGACAGAAKGAATACAGATTACTGTCAGTGAAGGCAGCATAAAGATGCTAAACCCAGCAGTAGGAGGGACACTTGCAGTGACAGGCTGTTAATTAAACAACTGCTGATTCYTTTAAAAAACATATGAGTAGACCTGTTTCTGTTCCTTGTTTAGGTGAGAATGATGAAATAAGGTTGCGCGACTGGCCATAAAAGCGACACATTAAACTAAACAGAGACGTAACAATAACAGAAAGCGGGGCTGTTCAACTGGCGGCCCGCGGGCCACATCCGGCCCTCGAGTGACCAAAGTTCGACCCGCCAGTTAACATAGACATTTTTGATATCTACAGAAACATCATCATCTTGGCTAGAAGCTGGTTAAAAACCATTTCTATAAACACCCAAGACTGTTAAAACTAAAAGCAGTTGAAGATAAAATGATGAAAGTGAAAATAAAATTGGTTTAAAGTCAGAGATGTCAAAATATTATTTGTGTCAAACATGAGGCAGAATGTGTTCTTTTTGTTTTTGATCATGTTTAATTATCACTACTTTTATAGGGTTTCTGTATGTTGTATTCATGATAAAATGCAGCAAAATAAACACATTCAAAGTAACATTTCTTTGTAATACTTGTTTTATTTACATAATGACTTTAACTGCTGGATGTTCGGCCCCCCAGCTGTTGACTTGCAGTAACTGTGGCCCCCCGGAGCAGTTTAGTTGAATAGCCCTGACATAAAGCTTTTTGTGGTGATTTTAGAGTGATGCTGAAGCACCATGAGTCTTTTGTCTAACTCTGGCACACTTGTATTTATTTATGAGTCATTTATTAACTCAATGTGTAAACTTGTAAACAAAACTAAACTAAAAAATAACTCCCAAATTCATGTTGTTATAGTCTTAATCATTATCTCTATCTTCTAAGTATCGTTTTAGCTAAATTAATGTTGCGTCAACCAAACTAAACCAAACTAAACTGAAAAGAATTACTCCCCAATACATGCCAAAACATAGCTTTTATCTCTATGTAGCCTACTAGCTATATATTTATCTATTATTATAATACCTTAACTTGTTGTTCCAAAGTGGTCCAATATATCAAATTCATTTGGTTTATTTATCAAGTAGGAACAGTAACACAACACACTGAACTCAAACATGTTAGCACTGGATTTTAGCCACTGGCTAATTTCTCTAGTTTGCATGGGAGGTACACACAACATAGGCCTACTGTATAATGATAAGCAAACATGAGCTGAAACAATAAACACAAAGTAAAATAATAAATGTAAAATATATTCAAAATCAAAATTAGTTAGCAAAAACAAAAATGTTAAATACACTCAATAGTTAATACGGTAATGTTGACGTTGTTTACTAAAGAACATTTTCAGTCGACGGGGGAAAAATACTTAATTTGACTTAGTTTTTCCAATAATTTAAGATTATTTTTGCTTTACTGATATTAGTATCTAATTTTATTTTCTTTTCTTTCTTTTTTTTCAAATAAAGTCAATCTAGCACTTTAAAAAAAAGTGTAAAATCCTCTGAACATTGTCCTGCATCAAGTCTTTGAAATGTGAAACTACCAAAAAAAAAAGTATTTCTAAAGAGAATTACAGCTTTTGCTGTAGAATATGAAAAGTATATTTTTGTAACAGTATAGAATTTGTGTAGGCCAGGGCTATTCAACTSATGACGTGCGGGCCACATCCGGCCCGCCAGTGACCAAAGTTCGGCCCGCCAATTGGTTCATCATCCCTTGAACCCAAACCCCAGGTATTCTACTTTAATTCATTCATTTAGTTAAACATAGACATGTTTTGGTATCTAGAAACATCAGAATCTTGGCTACAAGCTGGTAAAAAACCATTTCTATGCACAACCAAGACAGTTAAAAATAAAGCAGATGAAGATAAAATTATGAAAGTGAAGCAAGTCAAAATAATATATTTTTTTGAGTTTGTTTAATTATCACTACTTTTATAGGGTTCTGTAT